CCTTATTCCTGACATCACCCATCATCAGCTCAGTGCCCAAGCCCTAGTGGGATTCATAGATGAGGTGTACCCTGCCTGTCTTGCCTTTGTAACCTGATCCAACAAATATGCTCAGAGCATGACCCTTCTCCCTGCTCCCCATAACCTTTAGTGCAATGGCTAGAGAGAACTCCCCTGGAATGTGGGAGACTTGGGATCAATACCCCCTTATTGACTGCTGGGAGGAAGAGATTTGAACTAGGGAGTCACTAGGTAGGTAATCACTCCTACTCTGAGGCTGAGTTAATATTTAATTATGCACAGCAGAACAACATCAATAGGAGAGGGTGAGAAGCCTGCCCCAGAACATCCAATAGCCCAGAGTTTAGATTGCTTTCCTGAGAGGTGAAAAAACAAAGTTCTAATCCCTTCTCTCCCTTAGGGGAAACTGAGCTCACTGGGCTCCTAGCTCCTCCATCTTTTTTTTTAATTGAGAGAGGATTTAAATTCCTAATTCCATGGCTTTTTAATCTGCAGTAGAGTTCCCTCCTTATGCCTTAGTCCTTTCAGACATGGGGCTTAGACCACCTTCCTGTCCTCAGTGTTTCCTGTTGGTTTAGTCAGCTGCCTGATCAGAATGGGTTCTGTGAATGTCCTTCTTGAGTACCTATCTCTTGTTGTGCATTGCATAGGGAATGTGGCTGCCTACTCAGGATGCCTCTAGGCTAGGCCCTTTTGTGAATCTATCCCTAACTGACTTTATCAAGGTCTCTTAGCTGGTCAGGAGAGCTAGGATCATTGTGGTGGTTAAGGTCTGCTGAGGCACTCCTGCTCTCGTTCTTGGAACTGAAATTTTGGGACCTAGGATGTCTTCCACTGCGAAATCTCATTTGGGTGGATTGTTACCATGAATATTTTGATCTTAAGGGCGTAGTTGAAGGCTTCCCTCTTTACTGAGGCAGTCATCCCAGTGTTGAGATAAGGTGGTGAAGATATTTTTTGACAAGTAAAAGGACAGGAATAGCTTCCTAAATCATATATGTGGGACTTCAGTGTTTGTGTGTGGTTTATTTTGAGGCATTCAAATGCCATGGTGATAAGGGCATGAAATAATGTTAAATAAAATCAGTCCTAATCAGACATCAGCCTAAATCACTTTTTCTTCTCTTGAATTTTAATTGCAGCTTCATCTTGTGAGTAGACCTCCCTTACCAGCTCCGGCAGTGGGCATTGGAACTCTACACCAGCAGCAACAGGAAGACCTTCTTGCCAAAACTTTTGTCTAAGATCTTTCTACTTGGAAACCAGTTTCTTACAATATTTGTAAAATTCTCACAAGGAAAATCCCTTGGCTTTTTCATCCTAAAATGGAAGAACAAATAAAAAACTGCTCTGAAAGGAGCAAATAGTTCTTTAAATGTATGGATGCAACAAAACCCATAATGACCTCAGCCTATATATATTATGCAGAGGACAATTCCCACTGTCCTTTTGTATTTTTTCATTATATAAAAACAAAACTGCCATGAGATCAGTTAGCTGTGAAATCAAATGATTCATTTATAAAGCATTATCCCACATATCAGGACAAATCCATAGTTCTTTGGTATTCAGTTGTGGGAAGTTGTCCCTTAACTTTTAATTTAAAAGTTTAAGAATGGAGTAATGACTTCAATTATGGCATTTCTGTAACAATAAAGTATTTCCATTGGTCTTTGAGAACCACATTTAATGCCTTTCTCTCTGTGAGTGGGCACAGATGGGGAAAAATACTACCACAGGTGGGTTCCCTGTTGGAAAATTTCAATGGAGAACTGAATGAGTCATAAACGCCACTATCTTCTCACTCCTGTGCAATACCTGTATGACACAGTTGAAGCACAATGGCATGGCAGTGCTGGCTGCCTGTGGTGTTTGAGGATAAACTGAGAGCTCTAGCCTCCAGGACTGTCAAACCTATGACTTTCTTTTTAAAATGGATGAGTGTTTTTTGTTGTTGTTTGAATTAGCCATTGATTCCTCAGTTGGGATGTATCACAATGGCTGCTCACTTTGTTCATCTCTGTTGCTCAAATCCCAGCTCTTGAATAGGACATCAGACATCATTTAGTGCATGTATTGCTGTAATGCAGTACAGATTTTTCACCCTGTATTTCCATTTCCAAGCCCTTGTCTGTGCTGGATTCTGCAATTACTGCAATCTGAGATAACAGATCTCTAATGTTCAGCTGTCAGGTCTCAGTGGAGGAGAAATGCTACTGCAGTGCATTAATTTACTTGGTTTTTTTGAGAGAGACTTGAATGGGGGAAGTACATGCAATGTAAGATAAGTAATCCAACATACATTTGATATGTAGCATTTGGAATGTTAAATACAGCAATTCTTTTTTAAATGTAGAGTCAAAATTTTATTTTTTGGCTGGTACTGCACTTTGAAAACTGTCACACGGACAGTGCTCTAACAATATTACATAGGGATGTAAATCTCATTTAATTAACCAGTTAAATGGGGGTGGGCAGACTGGAGTGTCTTTCTCCCGCTACAGGGAGAGTGGGTTCTCTAGCCCAGCTGCTTCCAGCCCCCTTGAGGCCAGCAGGGCCCAGTGCTCCTGAGCTGTAG